GGTCGTAAAAGGGGTATGCAACTTAGCCCGCTCTTTTTCTAATCTGCAAGAAACGTATGCGGAAAAACGTCCAACGGATCGTAAACGAGAATTGTCAATAAATTCCTATCTCCAAATGAAAGTTACCGCGATGAAGTAAACAGTAGTAGAAACGGCGGCATTAAACTTGCAAATAACAACTAAGCGACGCAATATACACATTTTTGGCAATGTTCGCGTAACACAATTGATTCGAATTGTGAAATATTTGCGATTTGAGAACAGCAAGAGGAATGTTAAATCATTTATAACCAGAAAGAGTGGCTATATCAAAGATAATTTATGAGTAGTAACACTAACAAATATATTGTATAAAAATTGTATATATATAAAATTTAATTTAATTTACTTAATTTGCATGTAATACTATCATACAAAATACTATCATACAAAATAGTCTATCTTCTAGACTACTTTTTTAATTTTGTCAAACAAGATCATATATCAGACACCTTACATATTTTTCTCTAATATCTTTTTTCCGAAAATAATATATTAAAAGAATTAAATATATTCCGCATGTAGTGAGATGCTGGCTAACTTTATCTCTTTTTTTCAATTATGGATTTTAATGAAAGATTTAGTTTGACATAATGCAAAACAAATCTATAGAATTTTTTTCTGACAATGTAGTAGAACACTTTTTAGTGTGTGCGCAAAACTGTCGCGATATTTTGCGGAAACTTACATATAGTTAGGAGTTCTGATTTATATTTTCGTTAAGTCTATAGTTTCTAATACATCAAATAATTCTGATCATTAACTCGAGCAAAATAACTCAGACAAGCCAGTGTCTCATTTTGTTCAGAAAAGTTTTCTTCTTAATTTTTAGGAAGTTTTATCAGTGCTTATGCAGTTTTATATGAATTCTAGATAATTTTTCATTTAATTTTTGTTTATTTTAATACTTTCTGCAAACAGCATTTAAATAGAAATTATTATCAAACTTTTAGAAATTGATTGCATTTGGAATGATTTTGACTTTTATTGTTTTTTCTTTTAAAAGAAACAGAAATACGAGAAAAATTTGAATTATTTTGACTTGATTCTGAATATGTTCATTTTCTGTTTGAAGATTTCCGCCATCTATAAAAATAGCCGAGATATTTATTACTATAATTAAAAAAATCAAGAAATTATGTATTTGATGACGCAATAACACACAATTTGAAAACATTACGAACACAAGTATAAACACTTTTTTTTCGAATGACGTTTATGGTGTTTGTATAATTTTAAAAAATGACCAAATTCCGACTGGCGGCTTGTTGCAAAATATAAATAAATATAAATAATTTGATGCTTTTGAACGTTTTTGAACGTTTTTGAAGTTACGACTTAAAAAGCGATACGAAACGATATTCAATCGAGTGGTATTTTCTCTCACCGTTTGTTTCTCAGTATAAAATATTAATTTTTCATTGATTACAAACTTTATACCTATTTGACTCTATGTATTTTTTGCAAAAACGTTTGTTTTAAGTCGCACGGATGTTTTGTATCTACGTTAAGAGCTCGTTTGTCGAAGAAAGATACTGGACGATGGCGACCATAAATTTTATATTAGATACGACGGGAAGAGGGGTAGTTTACCACCCTGTGTTATGGCTAAAACACCAATGCAACGCAAGTCTCGGGAGGGTTGCTACCAGAGGCCAAGCTGCAGATTGTAAAAGTGTCTGCTCAACCAATAGCAGCGAATCGTGAAGATCCCCTAACGTTCTACGGTGGCCCCTTTGCTTCTTGACTTTCAGTCATATTACGGATAATGGCGAACATTCCGCGGCTGATATACTTCTATGACTTCCATCGAATGTTAAGCTGCCATAAATTAATCTCGTAAAAAAAAAGAACAGAATGGTAAGAGTGTTTCAATAATTTAAAAAAAAAGTTGTTTATCGCAAAATATAATTTAACAACTATTACATTTATTCTGATACACGCAAGAATGAAAGCTTTCGATACGTAACAAGTTAAATTGCTTCTTGGCGAAAGAGTATTAAATTGTTTATGATAAACAAGAAGAATCATGCAAAGACGACAAACTAAGATTATCATGTCATTTTTTTATATTCACAAAATATTTTAGTTGAATTATTCTATCCGTGATATTTTTCCGTGATAAAACTTTGTAAGTTTGTTTTGTGTTTAATAAGAATATTACTTTTTGGTATATTAAAAGCTAAGAAAAAAAAGAATTTACTTAATAAAACAATAAAACATAATTTTTGAAATTTCTGTCAAAACTTATCACAAGTTTTTAAATTATTATAAGTATGTCGATCCTTGCAAGTTTCAACCATTGATTTTGATATATTTAAAGTTAATGAAGTAAGCGCCGAAAGTGTAAATAAGTGTGGCATAAAAATGTAAATAATGTCTTACATTATAAAATCTTTATAAATGTAATTATAGTAAAATTATTTGATTAAAAATTAGTGTAAAAACTTTAGCAGTCTCGTATTTAACACACAAGATAGAAAATTGATAGCTAGTGCCATTTTTAAAACAAGAAATAAGTATGTTATTATGCTTATTTGTTCAACGTATCTCTCTTTTGCAAAAGATTCATGCAAATATATGCACAAATTTTGAAAAAACCCACTAACCTTACTCTAAAATTTATTTACCAATGTTCAAGACCAATCATTATCTTATACAGTTTTACAACACAAGTTCAACAATTAAATCATCAAGTTTAATAATTAAGTTTATTACTTTTTTCTTATAGCGCGATTATAATACAATCTCATTATTTATTAGAAAAAAAACTATAAAGAAGAAAGCACGCAAAATTTTATAAATTTCATTTAAAGAAACAAAAAAGATACATAATTTTAAAAACAATATCTCTACAATTCTCAAATTATGTCTTTACAAAAACTATAAATTAACTGCACAAAACACAGTGGCTGCGTTCTGGAAGCGCGCTATCAGCGCTGTTGCATTATTCTATCTTTATTGCTCATTAAATGTAAAACAAAGATAAAATAACGCAATAGCGCTGATAGCGTGCTCCCCGAACGTAGCTAGTGTAAGACAAAAGATTTGCAAGACTTACCGAAGATGACAAATTAAGTTTTTTTTCTATTCACATTATTTCACCGAAACCAAAGATACTCACTGAAGATATAAAACGAAGTAAACGCGAAAAATAACTAATTAAACTAAATGTGATTGTTCTATGCATGTATTAGTTCTTTAATTATTTTTTTCCGAGCACTAGAAAAACTTTCATGTCAGCAATCTGAAGTTGGCGGTTGGCTGCGCAAGAAGCATAGAACGTTTCTTATGAAAGCAAATCTCATTCTTCAACGACACTAGCGCACCAAGCGTACGAAGCGCTTGTAAAAGAGTGTATAAAAGATCCGAAAAAAAAAACAAAAAAAAAGAAAGCAACTAATCGCAACAAACACCTTTGTTTCGATATTTGTTTACATAAAACATAATTTTACAAAACTACTTAAATTGTGATTAATTGATTATTTATCATAAAAAAAATCATTTCTACAAATATACCAAAAACTGACAGCGACATGTTAAACAATTTTAAATTAGTTACTAATCTCCAAAATATTAAATTTAACAGTAACCACATATTATTGTCTCTCGACGTCATTGCATTTATTACAAATGTTTCAAACAATTTAGCAATAAAAACTCTCAAAATCAAATGGTAATGTATTAGAGAAAAATCTGTGATACCACTTAATGAAGTTTTGAAAGCTACCTTTTTTGAAAGGTAGCTTTCAAAACTTCATTAAGTCATCAAAAAGTCATTGACCTCTTGTCAAAGATTATTGACCTCTCGTCAAAAGTCATTGACCTCTCGTCAAAGGTCATTGACCTCTTGTCAAAGATCATTGACCTTTCGTCAAAAGTCATTGACCTCTCGTCAAAGGTCGTTGACATCTTCTCAAAGGTCATTGATGTTATATATCATTCTTTGTTACGTTCTTATTTTCTGCACAATCGCGTAACTGCAGCAACGCGCGTATGCAACATTTTGTTTCTCACAAAAGCGCGGTGGTCGCGAAACAATTTTTCTGCAAAACTCGCCAATCGGAGAGTGCACGATACTAATTACATATCATTCCGAATGCCCAATATATTGTGATACACATGTGCTATCGATATTTGCACGCGAGACAATAATAATAGCAAAATTGACGTAAATCTGCTCGGCGTCGCATGCCCGCGATAATACAGTTCTTGTCACTTCATGTATCGAAGCGCGCGATATATCGAAAATCGCAATATCGAATCGACGCGGATTGAAGACTGGCGCCAAAAAGAAGACTGACGTTCGAATTCATAGTCGTTTCACAAATCTTAGATCTCGTCTCTAATTACTAAGTTTTTTAATATTATACTTTTAACTTCTTTGCCAATATTGTGTATATATAGTACCAAAAATATAAAAACCTGCAAGTCAGAAAAAGTCAAAAAGTCAGAAAGTCTGAAAAGTCTGAAAGTCTGAAAAGTCTGAAAAGTCTGAAAGTCTGAAAAGTCTGAAAAGTCTGAAAAGTCAGAAAGTCAGAAAGTCAGAAAGTCTGAAAAATCTGAAAAGTCTGAAATGTCTGAAAAGTCTGAAAAGTTGAAAATCAGAAAGTCTGAAAAGTCAGAAAGTCAGAAGTTGAATACATTTTCTTAAAGAGCCGTCTACAATGGAGAGTTGTAGGCCGTAATAGTAAGAAATTGACCAATCACAGACAAAGTACAGAAGAATAATCGATTGTGATTTGTCAATTTCTTACTGTTACGGTCTAAAACTCTCCATTGTAGACGACCCTTAACATGGCAAAGAAGGTAGGAAACGCGCAGTCTATATATATTATACGTCTATGCGGAACACGCGTCCTTTGACTATATAACTATACAGTGATAAGTATTCTCGCAATACCTGCTGTGTAATGGAGATTAAGCAGTGTTTATATTTCTCAAAAGAAAAGAAGAGGGCGTTTTGTTATCAATTACAAGCAATTGTAAACTCGCAACTCGTAAATGTGAAGTGAAGGATCGAGTGCAGCAAGTAGCAATTTGTTGTCGACGATGATAACTTCACGAGGATTAAATTTATTAAAATTTGTTTATAGTAATAGTCAAAGAAAAGTTGCAGCAACGAATTTGCGGACTGTTAGATTAGGTCACGACAGTCACTAGTAAGTAGAATATTATATAATTGTGTCATAGGTTATGTGTGCATTTATATAAAATTGTTTTATTATCAGTAAATAAGAATAAATATATATACAGATACATCTTTATGCTTATATAAAGCAATTATAAAAATATATGTAGTAGTTCTGTACACACATACACATCATTCGTAAAAAATGCATTGTATTAATAATACACTGTACTTTTTTATTTTAGTCATGGATCTTATCGTGACCAATTTCCACCAATAGACAAGAAAGAAATAATTGCTGCTGAAATTTTTGGAGGCTTTATGTGGTGGTGGATATTATGGCATTTCTGGCATGATTTTGGTCACATTGTTGTAAGCATTAAATATCTAATTGTTACTTTTTTGAATTATAGTGTTATTTTTTTTTAAATATAACAAGTTGATACATTGAGGTTTTTTTATGGTTAGGGAGAATTTCCATATCCAGATCCATCTGAATGGACGGATGAGGAATTAGGTATACCACCTGATGAGGACGGACCTTTATCACGTATAAATATTGAATAGTGTTACAACAGTGTTGTTAGAGGTAAAATATATTTATCTTCTACATACAAAACTAGGAATTATGAGAAAATATTTACTACTTATATGATAGAATAAAAAAGAATTATATTTGACAGATGTCATTGTAAGACCAGCAGTCTTCTTCAAAAATGGTTTTTAGTTATTATATTTTACATGTAGAATATACTATCACTGTGATTAATGTAAAACTTTTAAAGCTTGTCTCTTGTTTAGTGTTTTTTTAATCCTGTTATGTAACTATATGTTTTTAATTTTTTCTTGATAAATTTAATAAATAAAAAATTGATCAGAAAAAAACAAAACAAAAAGATTATATTATATGTTTTAAGCTTGTTAAATATTGAAATAAAAAGAGATAAGGAAATGGCAATAACAAGCTAACACCAAATGTTTGGGTACAATTCTTTTATAATTCGAAGATTTTCAAAAATTTGAACAAACGTTTCGATCCACTATGGGATCTTCTTCAGTGTTTTAATAAAAACTTTCAAAAAAATCATAATCTATTCAAGATCATGAAGAATATGGATAAGAAAAGATACGCTACATAGATATTCAGTATGAGAAAAAGAGAGGCGGAAATGGCAGTCACGTAACCGTCAGTATTACGCAAGAGGACGCAAAACGTCCTCCCGCTTCGAATGTAACTGACAGACTGATTATAGTAAAAACATATTGTATAGACTATTCATATATATGTTTTTCTTGATATTGTGCACTGATAATGATGACAATCAACTTCTTCTGAAGAGAATATAACATTTGGCTCTTAATAGCTTTTTTGGCACATTATATATAATAAATTGTCAGGAAAGTTAGGTAACTATGCAGATCAAACAGTGAATTACTGCATATAAAATAGTTTATTAATGTTCTGTTACAAACATTTGGTACCAAATATAATTAGAACAAAAATAGAATAGAGATCAACAACATGAAGTATTATTGTAAAAGCATAAAAATCTATAGAACATTAGATGATACATTTTGAAGTTTAAGGTTTGTTGTTCAAATAATTAATTTTTCTTTGTGACTTTGATAGAAACTGTTTTAATTTCGAGATATTCCTTTAAGCCTTCTTCTCCCCTAAAAAAAAGAGGATATATTAATTTAATATTGTAATATTTTAGTCAATTCTTGATTTGAGAGAGAAAAACATCAAAAACTTATTACTTACAGTTCACGTCCTATGCCAGATTGTTTAAATCCGCCGAATGGGGTTTGAGGTGTAATAGCATCGTAACAATTTACCCTGGAAATTATTAGCATTTATATTTTTTACATGTATTTAAAGTATAGAATTATTTATTTGAGTGAAGTATCATCATGTTTCGCACAATTATTTGTACTTACCACACACTGCCCGCTTCTACAGCTTGAGCAAATTCCAAAGCTTTATTAATATCCTTAGTAATTACACCAGAAGCAAGACCGTAATTGGTGCGATTAGCTCGTTCGATTACTTCATCCATAGTATCAAATTTCAAAATTGTTTGCACCGGCCCGAAAATTTCTTCTGTGGCAATTCTCATTTTATCGGTTACGTTTGAAAACACTGTCGGTTGTACAAAGTAACCAGTAGTACCAATGCGATTTCCACCAGCTTCCACAACAGCACCTTGCTGTTTGCCAGAATTGATTAAGTTCATAATTTTGTCCAACATATCTTCATCAATCTGTGGCCCTTGATCCGTTTTAGAATCAAATGGATCTCCTACTTTTCTATTAAGTGCTAGTTGTTTCGCGCACTTTACAAATTCATCGTATATTTTAGAATGTACAAACGTTCGCGATCCTGCGCAACAATTTTGTCCGTGATTTACAAATATCGCATTAGATGCGATTTCTGCAGCCTCTTTTACTGTAATATTGATGTAATAAAATTAAAACATTATTACGATTGTTGAAATTTATATATCATTAGAAAGATATAGGATTAGTACATAAACGTACCGTCAGCATCATCGAAAACAACAAGCGGACTCTTGCCACCTAACTCGAGGCTAACACGCTTAAGGTTACTCTTAGCAGAAGCCGCCATTATGGCATGTCCTACCTAGAAACGAAACATTTATATTAAATACATGTATATATAAAAAGTATATAAAGTACTTTTGTCATTAAATATACCTCAGTAGACCCAGTAAAAGCAACTTTATAAATATCTGGATGCTCAGCAATAGCTGCGCCAGCAGTCGGGCCATATCCTGGGATAACATTTACAACACCTGGTGGAAATCCTGCCTCTTTAGCAAGAGCAGCTGCGTAAAGTGCGGACAAAGGTGTTTGTTCTGCTGGTTTTAAAACCACAGTGCATCCAGTGGCCAATGCAGGTCCCCATTTCCAAGATATCATTAAGAAAGGATAATTCCAAGGGATAATTTGTCCTACCACTCCTACTGGCTCTTTTTGCGTCATTGTAACAGTGGTATCACCTAGTTATGTAATAAAAATGCTTGTTGTTATGCTAATTTATATTTAATTTCAGGATACTTCTGAATAATAAAAATAGAAATAAAAATATTGTTGTTGTGTAATTCCATGTATCTCTAAATTAAGTTTATTAGAAATTATTCTAAGTTTATTAGAAATTTAATTACTAACTAAATAAAACGCAAATTAAAATTTCTGATTTACCAAAAGCTTTTCTATGAATTTAGAATACTTATTTTTAAAGAACTTGCTTGTTTACGTGTTGTAAAATAAATATACTTACTTATTATGTAAAAAACCTTTTTTTACATTTTTCAAGAACGTTGTTGTTTGGTTTGGTTTATCGAAATAAAACTGTTCTTTTAAGATTTGTTTTATGATAACCAGATTTACTTTTTTTAAATCTCAATTTTTGACAGAAATGAGATAAATATTTTTATTCAAGTTATGAAAATATATTCTAGTAGTAATGAGTGCAATAATTTATATGTTGAACATTAATGATAACACCAGAGATAAGTACCTGTTGGAATAGTCATTCCATGTATTTTATCGCACCAGCCGGCATAATAACGAAAAACGGCGATACTTGCTTGTATATCTTCAATGGCATTCGCGTATGTCTTTCCATTATCAATGGTCTCCAAAGTTGCAATATATTCCAAATCGCGATTAATTAAATCTGCGAACTATTTTATTAATTTGTAATTATAATCATTCTTTGACGGAGAAAGCAAATAAGTATTTTAATACATAGTAAAATTTTACCTTGTGCATAAGCTGTCCGCGTACATATGGATGCATTTTACGCCATTGTGAATTTCTATTAAAAGCTTGTTTAGCAGCTTCAACTGCTTTGTCTACGTCGGCCTAAAAGAAATTAATTCTTTATCAAAGTTGTTGTTTGTATTAAAATAACAATTTTGTCTATCGTTAGCAATTCACGTAAATGACTTTATTTCATTCAATTCACGTATAAAGTCTCAAATAATTATTTTTCAATATGTTTTAACAGTTTTTCAAAGTTTTGTATCTTTGCTAAATGAAACAGTCAAAGTTTTGTGCTTTGAAAATTGAACTTCAAGAATTTTGTAAAAAAACGCACAATTATATGAAACTAAGATTGTGTGATATTTGTAGATTCTTTAAACATTATTATCTATAAAGTTGTATATACTCTACAGATATCAAGATAAAAAGCAGTGATAAGGAGATATAAAATTACTTGTAATGCAACACGTAATAAAATACGTTTTGTAATAAAACTATAAAAGCCCAAATAATTACCTAATTGTTTTTTCCAAAAGTCAGTCTTTTATAAGTTCAAGCGTTGTTTATTTAGTTTAATAACAGTATTAAGAATTATATTTACCTTATCTCCTTCAGAAATTTCAGCAATGACTTTGCCAGTAGCAGGATTTATTGTTGGAAATTTACGACCGCTCGCAGCATCCACAAATTCATTATTGATGAAGAGCTACGCAAACACCATTTGATACATAAATATAATGTGCGTATGTCAAATATACACAAGTGGTAAATTTTTAATATATCTGTATCTTGTTTTAAATTAAATATCATTTATGGAGATAAAGAAAGATTCCACATGAAAAATAACTTGTATTTGTATGTAACTCGAGTCTTACTTGAGTATATTTGATTTCCACTTGCTTTGCCATCTTCAGTATTTTGTCTTCAGCATCCACACTCGACGACGGTTGACGAGTATGTGAGCTCTGTAACACCGAGCGGTGTTTATAGAAACTGGTGTTTATCGGGTTTATCGGGTATTTTCGCGCGATAAGATTTCTTGAACTTGTAACTCTTTCTCTATCCTTTTCTAAAGTCGTTTCAGAGATACGCACGTAGATTCTCTTAATATTCAAAACAGTAAAACTAAGCGTTGCATAATTAACGTTGCCACTTTATATTGATGTATGCAAAAACTGTTTTCAAAACAAAGTATAGTTTAGAATATTAATTATAGTTCTTGGATGTGAACATATTTCGTATGTGTACATGTTTCGAGCGAGAATCTATTTCTCTTGTCCACGATTCAATAACGGCCAGTATATTCTGATATTTTTGAATTATTTATTATATTTTGGTTCATTATTTCTTTTATATGTACTATATCATAATGTAGCGCTATAATTTTTTATATTTTTCTGAAGTGTTTTTACAAAATGTTTGATCTATTTTGAAAACGCACATTACATAGTAATGAGCAACTTTTATCTACATTTATAAATTTAGGTTTTACATCTTTTTTTTCTTTAATTATATGATATGATTGCACACACTAATTACAAACTTCATTAAATGTCTACTTGTTATCACAAATTTTGTATCAAATGACAAGGTACGTATCAAGACACTATCGGCGAGACTGGGTTGGCAAGGGAACTACATTTTTACATTTTGCGCATGCCTTAAGCTTGATAGGATAACATGGAGGTTATCGATATTTTTGTGCAGTCTTCTAAATGAGGTAATCACAACTTATCTTTTAAAAAATAAACGGCACGATTGCATAAATTTTGTTACCACTAAAAGTTTTATATCTCTTTTGTTATCTCTTTCTTGTTTTTCACGTGTATGGAAAGTTTTGGATACAGAATATTCCTATTCACAAAATATTTCGTACTGGAGTACTTTAAAATTATTTTCTTATTTTTGTGAGATAATAATTTCTTGTTGACTTAGTCCGGACATTATTTGATGCATTACTTCATGCGGAAAGATATTAATGAAATAAGCTAATTGTTTTGTCGAGTGTATGTAAATACCTTGAAGATAGTATCTTTTTCTACAAAACATAATATGTGTTTCGATAAAAAAAAGAAAAAAATAAAGGTTAATATAGAAATTAATTTTCGTTATTTAAGAAAATGCAACGCTTCGTCCCTGTTATGAGTATTAAATCGATAAACCAGGTTTCTCCTTAGAATGCGCGTCGTGTACGAGCAGCAACTTAAAATATATACTTAAAATTCACGTATAAAATATACAAGTCAATATATTTCAAATATGACCATATCGATGTAAAAGCTTTACATAATAGTGTTTTACGTAATATACATATATATATTAAAAGTATATATTTCTTCTGAGATAATCTATCGCCAAGAAATGTCTGCTGTTTTGTATGAACAAGATCATACGAAAACTTCACAGGAGGATTTGCAACCAACTGTGGTAATAAGCTTTTGTTTATTTCTATTGTTCTTAGTATCATTAGCCAACACGGTAGTTGTAACATATGTATAAAATACAGATTAAAAGATCACGCATCGTGATCACATTTATGAAATTGATTTTAGATAATGTTTGTGTTTGCAAAATTTATATTTAATCGTCACTGCACACCTATTGTTCATTACGTAAAACTTTTGAAAACAGGAAGCGCAATGTTCCGAAATAAACGACAGAAATAATTGCGGAGACAATAACGAGAAACCACCACTCTATTGTACTCAGCCCGAGGATGAATATCCATCAAAACCCGAATGCTCGATGGAACCGCTTGGTCCATGGGCTACGGGACAAGTATCTTGTTCTCCCAAGGGAGGGATAACAGGTTTGAGACCCGTTGCGGATCGATATTCTGTCACTCGCCACGGACCGAGCGAGTGGCGAGCACATAATTTAAATATTTTTCTGCAATCGAATGAGAAAGTCGCTGATGCACAGTACGTGACGCATACACATCAAAACCGTTCTGTATAATTTTTAACTTGCCAACAATTGTTTCGAAATACGATCGTATTACTGGCACGTTTTTGTTTTGTTCATTAGACGTACTTGGAATTATAAGCTAGATATGTAAAATTGATTAAACGGAAAATTTTTGCAGAATTGTAGCAAATAACGCGAAACAATGCGTGGATCGAGTGTATGCAACAGCTAACAAGACACAATTAGATACAACGGAACACTTGAAATCGCGGTCTCACGTAGTATATCATTGGAAAGCGGAACTAGAACACGCAATTGCTGCTCTCGCAGAAGAGATTGAATTACTAGAGAGCGAGCGACGTCGCGTACAACGATCTTTGTCGATGTTAACTGTTCCTGAATCTATCTCGAGCGAGTTTCTGCAATTGCGTTCTTTTCGCTTAGAATCCGATCTCGTGCGCGATCCTGTTGAGGAGCAACTCATAAAGGTTGAGTCTCGATTGAGTCATCAAAAATGATGCAATTAATTACGTCTTCAATATATTACGTTTCCATTTCTTAACGCGAATTACATTCCAGGAAATAGCGCTTTGTGCCGAAATACGACATTCGTTAAATAAGACTTACAATCAGATTACCACGCAGATGACAGAATTGAAGACTGCGAAAACGCGACTAGAAAACGACTGGTCCGACAAACTTCGTACTTACAACATAGATTCGATTTGCGTGAATTTATCCAACGATTCTCCCGTCGTTCTGTGGAAGGCCGGAGCTGCGAGATTACCAATGGAGTGAGTTTGCGTCACTTTATATACCGTATATGTGGTTTGCAACAAAAACTCATTCAATGCTCAATAAGAAACAGCGATGATAATTAACAGCGAACGAACAGATTTAATCAAACTTTTTGTTTCAAATATGTCAACTTTACTTTTAATATATTACGACTTCTGATATAATCAGAATTTTACATAATCGATTACGTTGCTCGTTCTTTTGCATTTAGTCAATCAACTCCTTCGAGTTACGATGATTTCACGCGAGAAGGATTAACCTTCAGCGAGACTGCTAGACAAAAGTCAATTGATTTGAGAATAACCTTGAATATAATGTACGATAAGTCTATTAAGGATTTGCGCGACCAAGCGACTCGCGTCGACACTGCGCTCGCCGAGAACGTGAAGATCACGCAAGAATGTTTATATCAATTGGAAAAAGAGTTACTTAGTGTAAGATGAATACACGCTACAAAATATATTCAGTTAGTTTTATTATTCAAATATTCAGATAGAATTGTATAAAACTTGATATGAACAATTTTTAGTGCTTGCGTGAATTGGCGAACACAGAAAATTTAATCGATACGCTCCGCGATTCACCGAAGGGATTAAACAACGCTATGAAAGTGGCACAAACGAGATTGGACAACAGATTGCGTAGGTCGAATGTTGAAAATTGTCGAGACGCAGCTCAATTTGCGTAAGTCATCGAAAGAAGAAATAAAATTGATTTAACAGACGAAGCAACGAACAAAAGATCTTTGTTTTCAGGCTCATCGAAGAAGTGAAATCTCTCGGCGAACAAACTTCTGCTATATCAGCAGAACTGAAACGTGCAGAAGAATGTCAAGCGGAATTGGTCAATATGAGGGACACTCTTGAACATGAAATAATGGTAAAACAAAAAACTTTGTACATAGATAAAGAACGAGGTCAACTACTACGCTCATCGTTTCCTTCTACGACAGCTCTGTCTGGATTTTAATAAATTAAATGTCCACACGCACATACATATTATATATATTGTGATTATAATAATATCTTATCTAGATACTTGTATATGATAAAATTATTTGTTAGAAGATAAAATCATCGTATTTAAGATAAAATCATTTTGTATAAGATAAAATCATTTTAGTTAAGACAAAATAATTTTTGAAAAGATAAAATTATTTTTTTTAAGATAAAATTATGTTTTATAAGATAAAATTATCTTATTTAAGATATAATTATCTTTTTTAAGAGAAAAACATCTTGTATGAGATAAAATCACTTTATTTAAGATAAAGTCAACTTTTTAAGATAAAATTATCTTAGGTAAGAGAAAATAATCTTTTAAAAGATAAAATCATCGTATTTAAGATAAAAACATCTACTTTCAAATAAAATTATTTTTTATAAGGGAAAATCTTTTTTTTAAATATAAAATTTTAAAATCTTTAATAAATTATATGTAGAATATATAGTATTTAATGTTATATATAATATAAAGTACAATCACGTTACTTTAAATAATCACGTGTTGTTTTTCTACTCTTTCTTGTTACGTGACTTTAGTTACGTTTTTAATTTTCTCTACATATACGATGAACTCTGTTTCAAAATCGCTTTTAGTATTTATTCTCTCGATATTACCGATTCGAGTTGACTCGATCAACCAACCCACCAATCGGCAACGCGGAAAAGAGGCAACAATAGATGCGATAGATTCGGCTTCAAAACGCGCACTTCTCGGTCCAAATGCCCTTTTTTATATAAGATAATTAACACATTATTCCGTAAAGATATGACATTTTACGTTTATTTCATAATCTCTCTCTCGCAAACTAAAATCCTCTGCTGAAAATTCACTTTGGTTCGTTAGAACTAATGGATTTTTTAATTGGTCACCGAAAACAATGAAAAGGAAACCCGAATTCACAACTTCTCCGTTAAAATTCGAGAAAATGCCGGTGTTATCTCACCGGCATTTTTAATATGATTGAAAATTCGCGATCCGCAAAAAATTCGCGATCTTTTA